AATAACAACACAATAACAACAACAATAACAACAACAACACAATAACACACAAAAACCCAATAACAACAACACCATAACAACAACACAAAAACTAAACAACAACAACAACAACAAACAACAACAACAACAACAACACAACAAAAACAAAACACACAACCAAAAACAACACAATAACAACAACAACAACAAAACAACAACACAACAACAACAAAAACAATAACAACAACAACAACAACAACAAAAACAACACATAACAACAACAACAACAACAACAACATAACAACAACAACAAACAACAAAAACACAACAACAAAACAAAACAATAACAACAACAATAACAACAATCAACAATAACAACAACAAACAACAACAACAACAACAACAACAACAACAATAACAAACAACAACAACAATAACAACAACAACAACACAACAAACAACAACAACAAAACAATAACAACAACTACAATAACAACAACAACAACACTAACAACAACAACAACAACCAAAACAACACAACAACAACAACAAAAACAACAACAACAACAACAATAACAACAACAACAACAACAATAACAACAACAATAAGAATAACAACAACAACAAAAAACAATAACAACACAACAACAATAACCAACAACAACACTAAACAACAACAATAACAACAACAACAACAACAACAATAACAACAACAACAACAACAATAAACAACAACAACAACAACAACAACAATAATCAACAAACAACAACAACAACAACAATAACAACAACAATAACAACAACAATAACAACAACAACAAAAACAACAACAATAACAGCACAATAACAAAACACAACAAAACAATACAACAAAAACCCAATAACAAAAACAATAACAACAACAACGCCAACAATAAACAACAGGGCGGGGGGAGGGAAGATGGGGGGGCAGGGGGGAGGGAAGATGGGGGGCAGTGGGGGGCAAGTGGTATGCATTGGGGAGGGCAAATGGAAGGGGCAGTGGGGGCAAGGGGTGAGCAGGGGGGGAGGGAAAGATGGAGGGCAGTGGGGGAAAAGAGGTTGCAGTGGTTGAGCAGTGGAGGGCAGGGGGGAGGGCAAATGGGGGGCACTGGGGAGGCGATTGAACAGGGGGGGAGGCAAATGGGGGGCAGTGGGGGGGCAAGACGGTGGGCGGGGGGAGGGGCAAGAGGGAGGGCAGTGGGGGGGGCAAGATGGGGGGCAGTGGGGGGGCAAGATGGTATCAGTGGGGGGGGCAAGAGGAGGGTGGGAGGGCAAGAGGGTGACAGGGGGGAGGGCAAGATGGAGGGCAGTGGGGAGAGCAAGATGGTTGGCAGGGGTTAAGCAAGGTGGAGGGCTGGGGGGGGCAAGATGGTGGGCACTGGGGAGGGCAAGATTGAGAGCAGTGGGGAGGGCAAGATGGAGGGCAGTGGGGAGGGCAAGATGGAGGGCAGTGGGGAGGGCAAGATGGTGGGCAGTGGGGAGGGCAAGATGGGGGGCAGGGGGGGAAAGATGGGGGCAGTGGGGGGCAAGTGGAGTGCAGTGGGGGGGGCAGAGGAGGGCAGTGGGGAGAGCAAAGGGAGGGCAGGGAGGGGGAAGAGGGAGGCATGGGGGGGGCAAGTGGTGGGCATGGGGGGGAAAGAGGGTGGGCGTGGGGAGGGCAAGAGGGTGGGCAGTTGGGGGGCAAGATGGGGGGCATGGGGGGGAAAGGGAGGGTGGGCATGGGGAGGGCAAGAGGTGGGATGGGGGGGAAAGATGGAGGGGCAGTGGGGAGGCAAGATGGGGGGCACGGGGGAGGGCAAGATGGAGGGCAGGGGGGGGAGCAAGATGGGGGGAGTGGGGAGGGCAAATGGAGGCAGTGGGGGGAGCAAGAGGGGTTGGCATGGTTAAGAAAAAGGGGGGGCAGGGGGGAGGGAAATGGAGGGCACTGGGGGGGGCAAGTGGGGCAGGGGGGGAGAGCGTGGGGGAGTGGGGGGGGCAAGATGGAGGGCAGTGGGGGGGGAAAAGATGGGGGGCAGTGGGGGGCAAGATGGTGGCATTGGGAGGGCAAAAGGTGGGCAGTGGGGAGGGAAAGATGGGGGCGTGGGGGGGGGGCAAGATGTGGCAGTGGGAGGGCAAGAGGTGGGCATGGGGGGGGGCAAATGGGGGGGCAGTGGGGGGGAAATTTAGGGCGTAGGGGGAAAGATGGAGGGCAGTCGAGGGCAAAATGGAGGGAAGTGGGGGGGGCAAGATGGAGGGCATGGGGAGGCAAGTGGAGGGCATGGGGAGGGCAAGATGGGGGGCAGTGGGGGGCAAGATGGAGGGCAGTGGGAGGGCAGGAAGACGGGATTGGGGTTTGGGAGGGAGGTTATAAGGAGGGTGAAGGGGAGGCAGGGGGACAGCGGGGTGGGGGGGGTTTATAAGGAGAGTAGGAGGGATGGGGGGGCAAGAAGAGATTAAAAGGGGCATGGGAGGCAGGGGGGGCAGGAGACACGTTAAGACCCCCAAAACTAGCAAGAAGTAAGCTCAGAAATAGTAGTAAATAGCACCCTGGCGCCTCCCTCCCTCCTTTTAAATTTCACCGTTAATTAAAAAATGAATTTCCACTGAAAAACCCCCTTCCCCCCCTCCCTTCCCCCCCCCCCTTCTCTCCCTTCCCCCCCCCAAATTTACTTCCCCCCCCCCCCCTCCCTTTTATCCTCCCCCTTTTTTTCTCCCCCTTTTTTCCCACCTCCTTACCCCTTCCTTTTCCTTCCCCAAAGGATGGGATGGAGATAGTAATGAATGAAGGAGGAATAAGGAGAGGGAGGGGGGGGAGGGGAGAGGGAGGAAGGGAGAGAGGGAGGGGGGGAAAATCAGGGGGAAAAGAAAGGCATGGTGGCTGCTGCGTCCTTGGGAGAGATAAGTAAAGAAGAGAAAAGGAGAGAGGGGGAAGAGAGAGAGAAAGGAAGAGGAGAGAGAGAGAGGAATTTAAACAGTGAATTTGGGGTTACCATCTTTAGTGATAGAGGAAAACACAGCAGAAAGAGGAGGAAAGCAAAGAAAATAAATGGGTAACGAGGTACAAATTTGAACTTTTATTTTAATAATTATATTTAATATAATATTAAAAAAAAATTATAAATATATATATATAATAATATAAAATATATATAAAATTAATATAATATATAAAAATTATATATAAAAAATTTTTAATAATATAATATATATATATATATATTTTTTAAATATAATATATAATAAAATATATTAATATTATATTATAATAATAAAAAAGGGCCACAAAAACGCCCCTGATTTCAAACAGGTATAAGGAAACCTATTTTAATAATTTTTACATTAGTGCTTCAGGAATTTTGTTCTTTTCAGTGGTATCGGGTAGCATTAAAGGCACTCAATTGGGGCCCTTTGTTGCTCTAAACATCGTGTATATCCAGTTCGGCCCGACCTATACCAAAACTGGGGGTTTCATGCGAACTGCTTTGGTGATCAAAATTTTCGGCTCCTAGAGGGGGTTTCAGGAATAGTAGTACGTAACCTTGCTCTTAGTATCATCAAAGAAAAGTCACAAACAGCTGGGGCCGGGGACCTCTGCAAGTGGCCTTCAGGGGCTTGTCACTGCTAGGTGTAACACGGCATACATCGGAATGAATGGGGAATTTTTTATTTTTATTATTATTATTTTTATTATTATTTTATTTTTATTATTTTTAAAAATTATTATTTTTATTATTATTATTAAATTTTTATTTTTATAAAAAACTTTATATGATTATTGTAAGATGTGGTGAAGGGTGGAAAAGTAAGTTTGGAACAAAAGCTCTCTCTGCACGAGGACAAAATACAAAACAGTTGTTGATCAGTTCAAAACGAGAAGGTCAGAGTGAAAAATTCTGGGTTAAAAATATTTAATAGAAGTCAGTCTGGGTGGGGGAAAACAATCTGACCCTTTTTAACAGCTGTGTTGCTTGTAACTCGTGTGCTTTTGGGGAGGGGGGAGGAGGATATTAGACACAGGGAAAAGTAGGAAGCAGTGAATTCACAGCAGGAAAGGGAAAAATTTGGAAGAGGAGGAGGTGAAAAGGAGGGCCCTGGGTTAGGGGGGTAGTTTTTTTTTTTTTTTTTTTTTTTTTTTGCCCAATCTGGTTTCGTAATGTTCCCTTGCTCATCGAACAGCCGTTGAAACCCAAAAAACCCCGTCTCTAATCACTTGAATAGCACCCCCCCATGCCCGCTGGATTCACATCCACTCTAAAACTTGCCACATTTTCCCACCAATACCTATCCACTTTTTTTGATTCTTTCCCCCAAAAAAAAAAAGACATCAGCAAAGACAAAATAACGCTTTCATATTATACCAAAAATTTTTCCCAAAACCATCCCCAAAAAATTCCCAAAACCCCTTCCAAGCCTTGTTCTCCCAAAAAAAAAAACCCTTTTTTAACCTAAATACATCAACAAATTTAAAAAATTCTTTTTAACAAAACCATCTTTTCCCACCTGCACCCAGCCTCGTTTTACTTGGAAAAAGAACAAAAAGGATTCTCCTTCCCTAGAATAGTCCGGGGGTAGAATCATCACTAAAACAAAAATTTGCTAAAGAGTCCGGGAATTTCAAAAGGGTTTTCCAGGGCAAAATTTTACATGTCAAATTTTTAAATGATAAAACTTAGTAAGTTTCCAAATAGACTGAAGTGATTGAAGTGATTTGATGGGAAAGTTTTTGGTTTTTATGTGATGTCAGTAGTCCAGGATAATAATGACTCTCTTGGGTATGATCTGTCAGGGTTTTGACTCTCTTGGGAATATTATTTTTTTACGGTGGTGAACGGTGAATGGAAATAAAAATAAAAAATAAAAATAATAATAATAATTAAAAAAATAAAATAAAAATAATTTTTATTATTATATTATTTTTATTATTATTTTATTATTATTATTATTATTTTTATTAAAATTTTTATTAAATTTTTTATTATTATTTTTATTCGTTAAGGTAACTGTTTTTTTATGAGTTTCAGGTATTCGTTAATCGTTCAAGAAGTGAGTCTGACACCTGAGTCTGATACCTGAGTCTGACACCTGTGTTTCCACTTGCCCCACAAGTCTAAATTACAGTTTCAAGTCCTTCACTCTACCATTCCTTCTTCTCCACCATTCTACCATAGTCTCCTCCCAGGTATGTTACCTATAGAAATCAACATGGAAACTTATGACTATAGATACGAGAAATTCCAGACTGGAAATAGACGTTTTGATCCAAGGCAGCCAACTTTCAGGCAGGAGGCTTACAGCTTTTCATCTCATCCTCTGCATGCATCGACCGACTAGACATTTTTACAATGCTTAGAATTAGCAAGAACAGGCGAATGCCGGTCGATGCATGCAGGGGATGAGATGATAAGCTGAAAGCCACCTGCCTGAAAGGTGGCTGCCTTGGATCAAAACGTCTAGCATGAGCTGGGCGCCAAGGTATTTTTTTTTTATTCGCCGGTACTCTACCGGCCCGGGTCTTTTCCAAGTAGTAGTGACCCGGCCTTGGCTCCCTATCTGGGGACTATCTCGAGACCTAAGTCTTCCCATGGGAGGAGGTACAAGTACCCCCTCATCTTTGGGACCAACTGTCCTCAGGCCTAGCCACAGTCCCCGCCCTCACAGGGCTCGTAGGGAGAAGCTAGGCCTCTGGTCTTCCATCTGCCCCGCCCCAAAGGGGCTAGTGGGGATGGCAGTCTTGTGAGCTGCAGGTGATAGCAAGCTCAGGCCTCAGTTGGTCTATTGTGGTACGGTCGATAAAGAACTGCGTACCTTGTTCGAAGGTTTGTAGGTTCGAGACTCCTTACGCCAGAGATCAGTGATTTTGGATATTTCGCCTGTTCTTGCGAATTCTAAGTATATATATATATATATATATATATATATATATATATATATATATATATATATATATATATATATATATATATATATATATATATATATATGTCGTGGCGAATAGGCAGAACTTGCGATCTTGGCTTAAATAACAACGTTCATCTTGCCATATAGGACAAGTGAAAATTTGTGTATGCAATAATTTCGCCAAAATCATTCTGAACCTAACGAAAAAAACATATTTCACTGGGTTAGGCTAAAATAAATTGTTCTTGTTATAATAAGGTTAGGTAAGTTTTCTAAAATTCTTTTGGTGCAAAATTAAAAATTTTTACATGAACGTTTATGAAAAAAATATATTTTTAAACGTATAAGAGAAAATTTTCGAAAGGACTTAATTTTAAATGAGTTCTTGCTAACTGACCAGTTTCACATATTCGGCACGACATATATATATATATATATATATATATATATATATATATATATATATATATATATATATATATATATATATATATTATATATATATATATATTATAATATATATATATATATATTATACCTAAGAGTAATGAAATAGCAATAATAATAATATTATTATTATTGAAAATATTATTAAAAAACAATAATTAATAATAATAATAATAATAATAATAATAATAATAATAATAATAATAATAATAATAATAATAATAATAATAATAATAATAGTGTCCTTGGCCCTCTTCTCTTTCTCCTATACATAAATGACCTACCAAATGCTTCACAATTACTCAAACCCACACTTTTTGCAGATGACACTACATACGTCTTCTCTCACCCGAACCCAGTCACGCTAGCGGCGGCCCAGTGGTTCCCAAACTTTTTCAGCTTGTTACCCAATTTAACATGCCACATAAAGCATGTTACCCCTTTCACAAAATGTTGTTATTATTGATATATATGGCTAAATTAAAACACTTGAGATATTTTCTTTTATTTATTGTATTTGAACATTGTGCATCTCTAATGACTATTACCAAAGATGTCAAGAACATCAGTGGGATGGATGGAGTTGCATACTTGAAGCTAGTTTAGGAATTCTTGGCTTCATACCAGCTTATGTCTACCTCGGCTGATGCTCACAGATAAACTGACAGTGTGAAATAGAGGCAGCCTCAGGAAGTGAGTGACGCGTACTGGACAGGTCGATCTGGGCTACTGAGTGACTTTTGTCCTGAAGCATACTTGTCAAAATTCTTTTGGGTTTCCACACACTTAGCTATATATTTCTTCTTTTCTAATACTGTATATTAGTTTTTGATGTTTATTGTTATTTGGTTTAACTTTATTACTTACTTATAATAGGTTTACTTTACAACTTTATATACTAAGACAAAGTTAACAATAATCCTCATACCGGGTACCGCATTGTTTTCTTGATTTTCAGAATTCATAACTTTTTTTCTGTCACCCCTCCATTACCCCCAAAAATGGTTAAATTACCCCCAGGGGGTAATTTACCCCCAGTTTGGGAACCACTGCGCTAGCCAATACTGTAAACACCGAATTACAGAAAATATCTACCTGGATGAGGACTAACAAACTTACACTAAACATTGACAAAACCTACTTCATTCAGTTTGGTAACAGAGCTACAGATGTCCCTCTTAAGATAACGATAAACAGATCACCTATCACAAAGCTAACAGAGGGAAAATTCCTAGGAATCCACCTCGATAATAGACTCAAATTTCATACACATATACAACAAATTTCTAAGAAAATTTCCAAGACTGTAGGCATACTATCGAAGATACGGTACTATGTTCCACAGTCAGCCCTCCTGGCCCTATATCACTCTCTTATTTACCCCTATCTCACCTATGGAATTTGTGCATGGAGCTCAACAACAATTAACCATCTCAGACCACTAATTACCCAACAAAAGGCTGCAGTTAGAATGATAACAAATTCTCACTACAGACAGCACACTCCACCAATATTCAATACACTAAACCTACTCACCATACAAAACATCCATACTTATTATTGCACCTATTACATACATAGAACACTTAACTCTGATATTAACCCTCCCCTCAAACATCTCCTTGCCAACCTCAACAGAACACATGACCATAACACAAGGCACAGATCACTCTTTGATGTTCCTCGTGTCCATCTCACACTATGCAAAAACTCAATGCACATAAAAGGCCCTAAAATCTGGAATTCATTACCTGTAAATATAAAAGAAACACTACCTGTTTATAAATTCAAGTCTCTTCTCAAAGATCACTTACTCACTCAAAACCAAATAAATACTGAATAACTGAAACTTATAAACTGTATATCCAATATGTTACTCACAATTATATCACACAAATGTTAAACCTAGGACCCAATCTAACTTTATTATTTTTTTAAATACATTACCTAACAGAATACTCCATTCGACTGAATGTACAACAATGCAAGCAACCATATGACCTGTCTTTGTAATACTCATTTGTGCTTTATAGTTATCTGTTTACAATAATGTCTTACCACTGATTTCATCATTGCTTAGTTAATCTTAAGTTAATTTTAAGCCAGCCCGTAATGCTATGCATATAAGTGGCTTTGGCATGCTGCTCTTACCTGTATTTTTTGTACCTCTGTTTGTATGCTTAAATATAATTAACAATGCTATCTTTGTTTCTACAAGTACATGTACAAGGTGTACAGACCGTAGCTGACATCACTCACATACTACTACATACAAAGCCGCTTGTTATGCTGAGCAATTCGGGCAAATTAGGTGAATTTTGTCCCACGATACGACCCACACCAGTCCACTAACATCCAGGATGCTACCCACACCAGTCCACTAACATCCAGGATGCTACCCACACCAGTCCACTAACACCCAGGATGCGACCCACACCAGTTCACTAACACCCAGGATGCGACCCACACCAGTCCACTAACATCCAGGATGCGACCCACACCAGTCCACTAACACCCAGGATGCGACCCACACCAGTCCACTAACACCCAGGATGCTACCCACACCAGTCCACTAACATCCAGGATGCTACCCACACCAGTCCACTAACACCCAGGATGCGACCCACACCAGTCCACTAACATCCAGGATGCTACCCACACCAGTCCACTAACATCCAGGATGCTACCCACACCAGTCCACTAACACCCAGGATGCGACCCACACCAGTTCACTAACACCCAGGATGCGACCCACACCAGTCCACTAACACCCAGGATGCGACCCACACCAGTCCACTAACATCCAGGATGCTACCCACACCAGTCCAATAACCCAGGATGCGACCCACACCAGTTCACTAACACCCAGGATGCGACCCACACCAGTCCACTAACACCCGGGATGCGACCCACACCAGTCCACTAACCCCCAGGATGCGACCCACCACCAGTCCACTAACACCCAGGATGCGACCCACACCAGTCCACTAACACCCAGGATGCGACCCACACCAGTCCACTAACACCCAGGATGCGACCCACACCAGTCCACTAACACCCAGGATGCGACCCACACCAGCCCCACTAACACCCAGGATGCGACCCAAAACCAGTCCACAAAACACCCAGGATGCGACCCACACCAGTCACTAACACCCAGGATGCGACCCCACCAGTCCACTAACACCCAGGATGCGACCCACACCAGCCCACTAACACCCAGGATGCGACCCACACCAGTTCACTAACACCCAGGATGCGACCCACACCAGTCCACTAACACCCAGGATGTGACCCACACCAGTCCACTAACACCCAGGATGCAAACCCACACCAGTCCACTAACACCCAGGATGCGACCCACACCAGTCCACTAACACCCAGGATGCGACCCACACCAGTCCACTAACACCCAGGATGCGACCCACACCAGTCCACTAACACCCAGGATGCGACCCACACCAGTCCACTAACTCCCAGGATGCGACCCACACCAGTCCACTAACACCCAGGATGCGACCCACACCAGTCCACTAACACCCAGGATGCGACCCACACCAGTCCACTAACACCCAGGATGTGACCCACACCAGTCCACTAACACCCAGGATGCGACCCACACCAGTCCACTAACACCCGGGATGCGACCCACACCAGTCCACTAACACCCAGGATGCGACCCACACCAGTCCACTAACACCCAGGATGCGACCCACACCAGTCCACTAACACCCAGGATGCGACCCACACCAGTCCACTAACACCCAGGATGTGACCGACACCAGTCCACTAACACCCAGGATGCGACCCACACCAGTCCACTAACACCCAGGA